ATGTGATTGAACTAATGAACATTGGGCAGAGGAACCGTGTTGTAGGTGCTACTGCTTTGAACGATCGTAGCAGTCGTTCTCATAGGTACAATATTAAAATTTCACTTGATAGTTTGTTTTAACTCAAGGTTCTCTAAGATGTCATTTGAATCTATTTGTTTGCAGTTGCTTGACTGTTCATGTTCAAGGCAAAGATATGACTTCAGGAACTATTCTCCGAGGATGTTTACATCTTGTTGACTTGGCAGGCAGTGAAAGAGTTGATAAATCTGAAGTAACAGGAGAAAGATTAAAAGAAGCACAACATATAAACAAATCTCTCTCGGCTTTAGGTGATGTAATATCTGCCCTTGCCCTAAAGAATTCACATGTTCCTTATCGGAATAGCAAACTCACTCAGTTACTCCAAGACTCCCTTGGTAAGTTATATTCTTGCATGAATCTTGAATGACTAAAAGAAACCTCGTCTTATTCATTCTTTTGTATAACCTTGCCTACCTAGGTGGACAAGCAAAGACATTGATGTTTGTCCATATAAGTCCTGAAATGGATGCTATTGGAGAAACTCTCAGCACGCTAAAATTTGCTGAGCGGGTTTCTACGGTTGAGCTTGGTGCTGCAAGAGTTAATAAAGAAAGTGGAGAAGTAAAAAAACTAAGGGAGCAGGTTCACCTTCTTTTCTCTTTTTCTTTGTTTTCTTCATTCCTATGAAATTATTCATTTCGTACATTTTTATTCTTCGTTTCTTTTACATCTCTTTCAGTTTTCAAGAAAGGATTTGCTTCTTCCTGTTGTAGATGGCTAGTTTGAAAGCAGCATTGACATGCAAAGAGGAAGGATCACAACATCTCCAGAACACAATACCAGGGGCAGATTCACTCAGCACAAGACCATCATCACCAGTACATTCCAATCGACGGAGTGGAGCAGATTATCTACACAATCAATCTAACCAAAGACAGCCAATGGAGGAAGTTGGTAACATAGAGGTATTCTCAATATCTTTTGCTTAAACTATTTCTTTGTTACTTTCTTATTCTTTTCACATAAAACAGGTACCAAAAGAGCAGCTACCATAATGCATTGTTTTAGAGAATTTATTATGAGATGCCACAAATTCCAACTTTTAGAAATAATGCTAAACCTTGTTTTATTTCTCTATTTATGCCTGTATGTCCTTTCAAAACTTAATCATTTGCATTATCTTTTGAAAATTGGATTTTGCTACTGACTTCTGTTAACCATCAGTGATTGCCATATCTGGTTAACATATCGAGGATGTTTAAGTTCAAACGTCTCTTACAACAAAAATTCATGGAAATTTTATATATGGCACAGCCTATATTTCATATTTTTTGAATAAAATTTTCTTCCTTTCTCTAGGTCTTTGTTGGTAGTATGTTGCCTGTATTTTGTGTTCTATCATTTCCGACAACAGAAAATCTTGGCTGAAATTGTTTTTTCTTCACTTGTTTTATTTGGCACAGCCTGTATGTCTTTTTGTTCTAATTGATAAATGTTAACTCCTTTCTGTAGATCTTGGTTGGCAGTCTATTGCCTATATTTTGTGCAGAGTCTTTCTTTGATTGTAGACATCTGCTTTGATGTTCTTCAAGACATGACTTTCAAGGGAACATATCATTCATAACTTGGCAATCAATAGATTGTGTTTCTTCCTGCAAATATGATTGGCACCAATATGTGCTGACTACCTCTAATATCATGCACCAGATAGTAACAACTGTGATAATGGCCTCTTTTCAGGTCAGAAGTAGTCTGCCATCGAGACAAAAGAAGCCAAGTTTTGATCTCCAAGATCTTTTTACGACAAATGATTCTCCTCCATGGCCAGATAGTTGTTCCAGAATGAATCTTCCTGTGAGGGATGATAAAGAAATTGTTTCTGGAGATTGGGTTGACAAGATCATGGTGAACAAGCTAGATACAGCTGTTATGGATGACAATCCCATGATAGATTGGGAGGGTGATACTGGAACATTACCTGACTTCTTCTACCAAAGATGTGTTTCTGACGTGAGAATTTATCCAGATAAACAATACCATAAAAGTGCCATGAGAAGAAAAGATAGCTATGAGCTGGACATGCAAAGAAGTCATTCATATTATGTGGCTACTGATGATTCAGATGATCAGGATATTGCGACAAGTGATTCTTCTGAAGCAGATATGCTGTGGCAATTCAGTCTCCAAAATGTTCATAGCACAGGTAATGAGAGTGGGTCTAGGATCAAGAAGCCTCAACCAAAGTTCACACAGAGTTCCGATATAAGGTAGTTGACTTGCCACAATCTTACTTTAAGTATATAATACACAATCTTGAAGTAAATAAATTCCTTGATCTTCTTTCATTTGATATAAGTAATTTCACATGTGAAGAGATTTTCTTGCTTGTTTACCTAATTTGACTGTGAAACCCAATACTATGAAAGATCTCCGGAACAACTTCACAACTAATTATTTTGCAGAGTTATGTCGCACCTTAGTTCTGATCTTAGATGCTAAAAGTTAATAGTTTTTCAATTGATATATAAATGAAAAACTACTTCTGTTACTGTTGTACATAGTAATTGTGGAAATATTCTGGCATATCACTGAATATAGTGTTATATATTGTGCCTAAATTGCAGGATATTTCGTTTGATCTATAATTTCTTATTGATTTTGCTCTAGTGATAGTCTGATGGTCAGTCTCGGTCATATTATTTTTTGAAATGAACCAGGTTGAGCGGAAACTTTTGTTAGCAGTCCAATTTGCAACAATTTTAATGATTAGACATGCTTTTTTTCATCAGAAAAAAAAGTAAATCTTCATACCGACATTTTGTCTGCCATAAAAACTTAATGTGATATTAAGTTTTATTGCATGTTAGCCATCAGATTTTAAGAATTACACTTCAAAACCTTTATACTAGATGGTCTTTAACTTCCAGATAGTAGAATTTGGTGATGCACTAAAAAGCAGATGCATCTTTGATGTTGTAATTACATCCATAACCAAGTCCAACTAGCTCGCAATGACATGCAAAAGGATTACAGCTGTTGTTGGATATAGCATTTGATTTGCTTACAGCTTGTCACTTTTGACTCGGGTGGTGGTGTCCCTTTCCAGAATCTATGAGTAGGGTTGTCATGCCTGAATGCTTGAGCTTAGATCAAACAGTTGTTAGGATAGCTATAGCCTTGACAAATTTTTTGCTTCTTCAAGTATGCTTTTCGCCCAGGTGTTGCTTCTTCACATGGCAAAAATCTGATGCTTGGATAATTATTTATGAAACTCAAAATATCTTGTTTTGGGATATAAAATGTCAACCATATGAGAATTGAGCAAAATATATATACATACAACTCCTTTGATATTTAATCTTATGCAATGCAGTTGCCAGTGTACATGAGATACCTTGTTTTTGTTTTCTTGATCAGTAAGAATTAACGTGATGAGTACAATATTTGAACTGTTTTTGTTTCTTTCCTTCGATTCAGGACTCCGAATTATACACACATACCATCTCCTTCCCAGAAAACATCAAACGGGTCAAAGAGAACGGGAAGGCAGGCTAACGGCGACGACGGGAAACGGATTGCATCAGGTGGCAAAACTGGCAACAGAAAGTAGGGTTGCTGTTGATAATTTGGTTTGCGATTTGTTCTTTCTTTTCCAGAATGACATAAGAGATTGAGGGCCTCCTTCTCATTCTAGTGACGAGTGGCAATAATCTCAGTTGCTTGTACTGCTGTTGTTGTGGTGGAAGTCTCAGAACCAGTGCAGGAGTGTTGGATTCTCTCCATCTACTTCACTTGATTCTTGTTGCATTCTTTCTGTCATGTTTGTAGAGGAAAGCGAGGCAAAATTATAGAGGCACTGTATCATCTCTTGTGTATCTCCCCATCAAGTTCTTTGAGCACAGGATCATAATTACAATTGTTTATGTTATATTCTCTTAATGATTTCAGCTTTTACCTTTGACAGGAGGAACTTTGTGCTGAGGTCATAGTCGACATGAGTCCAATCTCATCCTTATTCAAAATTTCATGGGTCTTTTGATAATTATTGAGAAACACATTAATTAATGAACCGATCCGAATCGGTTAAACATTTTAATTTTGATTTTGATTTTTTTTCGATCAAATTGACCGATCGATCCGATCTGAGTCGGACCATGAACATTTCCCAATTAGTTTGCACGCTTCTGCACAGGAGCTGCTATGCGCTGAGATGCTCCCATGCTCAAGCATACTGTCTGTGTCCCCCCATGTCTTCTTCCTGTAGCTTGGATGATGGAACACACTGCCACGCAATAACACGAAGGACGGGAATTTACGGTAGATTCTCTTCTCATCGCCTCCATCCGACCTCCGCGGGAGAAGAAGCAAAGCTACATCATTCCTCGACCATGCGCGGTGGCGAAGGGAAGGAGGCCGACGACAGCCAGCTGCAATCCCACTCTTCTTCTTCTTCTTCTTCTCTTTCTGCCTCTGTCTCTCCTTTTCATGCGTCGACGTCGAAGGCACGGCTGATGGAGACGACGAGAGACGGGGTGCGGGGGCGGGGGCGGGGGCGGGGGGGAGGGTCAATGACCGGCGCGGGGCCCAGCCTCACATGGTCGCGGCACCGCAGGGGGAAGCGTCGGGCCCACGCGGGTGGCCATCACGCGGCAAAACCGCGTGCGGTGGCGACGGCCCATGCGGGCCCCTCCCGGCGCTGCGTTCCCTTATCTGCCCCTTCTCGCCACTCATCGAAGCTGCGTTCGTATTCGGCACCATTTGGTGATCAAATAAAGATCAAGTAGAGACATTGTTTGCAGAAGATTTCATGACCTCCAAATCCATTTGAGGCGGAGGAAGCATGCCCGATCTCCCTTTGCTTAAAAGTCTCATCCATGGCAGAGGGGCACTCAAGTCATTATGACCGTGTGGTCCTCCTTCCCTCTCCATACGCAGCATCACAGAGGACTACAGCTACACAACCCAATCAAGAGGCTTTAGTTTAGGCAGCGAGTAGTGGGGGATAGGCAGCACAACTGGAAAACACCACATAAAAATTTCCTTGGTCCCAATCCTATGCATTCCCCCTCTTTCCTCACCTTCTTTCCCCTCAGAGCCATCTTTCCATGATAAAAAGGAAAAAGATCTCCTTTTTATTCCCCATCTCCGCGCGCTCTCTCTCTCTCTCTCTTGTGTTCCTACAGTGAAAGACTCCCTGATCGTCTGCCCCCGTTCTCGTTTTCTTCGCCCAATTGGGCGTGCTCTTCTCGGTCCCTCTGATCCCAGTCCCATCCTTTCTTGATCCCGGAGATCGAATTTTTATGGTCCGCATTGCTCTTTCCGATCGTCGAAACCAGTTCTTCTTGGTAAGGTTTTCTTAGTCAAAAGTTCGATATTTTTTTTCTGCTTGGAGTCTTGCTTTGGACCGGAATGAGAGGGTGGTAATGTGGGTTCTTGGGAGGAGATTGACGGGAATGGGGGCTAGGTGAGTGATTTGTGGCGAGGGGAACGGATTAGGGTTCTTTAGGGGACCGCGACGTCCGCCACCGATGGCTACTGAGGTGCGGCCTCGAGATCCGAGCATGCGACCGCCCATGGTCCCGCTGGCGACCCTCATCGGCCGCGAGCTTCGCGGGGGCAAGTCCGAGAAGCCCGCCATCAAGTACGGGCACGCCGCCTTCGCCAAGAGAGGGGAGGACTACTTCCTTGTCAGGCCCGACTGCCTTCGGGTCCCCGGCGACGCCGCCTCCTCCTTCTCGGTCTTCGCGGTACTCCTGATCCACCATTCGGTTTCAGTTTCCTTTGTTCCTCCTCATGTTCCCTTTGGTTTGATGTCACTTCCTGTACAGATCTTTGACGGGCACAATGGTGTTTCTGCTGCTGTGTTCGCAAAAGAGCACCTTTTGGAGCACGTTATGAGTGCGATCCCTCAGGGAATCGGTAGGGAAGAATGGCTTGAAGCCCTTCCGCGTGCACTGGTCGCTGGTTTTGTCAAGACGGACATCGATTTCCAGCGCAAAGGCAAAATTTAGTTTACGCGCTGCTGGTGACTTTGTACATTTGACCGAAGAAAAAAAAGAAGAAAAACTGAGCTTTTGTTGTTCTGGCAGGGGAGACTTCTGGGACGACAGCGACGCTGGTTGTCGTCGATGGGTGGACTGTCACAGTTGCATCTGTGGGTGACTCGAGGTGCATTCTGGATTCGCAAGACGGTGTGGTCTCATTGCTTACGGTTGATCATAGGCTGGAAGAGAATGTTGAGGAGAGGGAACGTGTGACTGCTAGTGGAGGAGAGGTTGGAAGGCTTAATATTTGCGGTGGAAAAGAGGTATTGGTTGCCAAAATATCTGATGTTCAAGGCTATGACATGATCCTAATGTCTTGTTTGCATTGTCTGATTTATGTGCATGCTGCTTCTTAGGTTGGACCGCTTCGCTGTTGGCCGGGTGGGTTATGCCTTTCAAGGTCAATCGGGGATACAGATGTGGGCGAGTTCATTGTCCCGATTCCTCATGTGAAGCAAGTCAAGGTGTGGGCCATCAAGCTTGGTGATTTGTGGTGTTTGATGTTATTTGAATGACTTCGTTTTAACTTGTCGGATGATCAGCTTTCAAGTGTTGGAGGACGTTTGATAATTGCTTCTGATGGCATATGGGATGCCCTTTCATCCGAGCTAGCAGCCAAAGCTTGCCGAGGAATTCCTGCGGAACTTGCTGCAAAGCTCGTTGTTAAGGTGATGACGAGCATAAATAACTTGCCACTGTTTGTAATTTGTCAGTTTCTTTCTCATTACATCTTATGATTATAGTTAGCTCATTTAGAGTTCTTCATGTATGATCAATTGGTTTAGGAAGCATTGAGAACAAGTGGCTTGAAAGATGACACGACTTGCCTAGTTGTTGATATAATTCCATCTGATCACACTCTCCCACTACCATCACCAGTAAAACAGCAAAACAAGTTCAGATCACTCTTTGGGAAGAAGCCACAGAATGCTGCTGGCAAACCTAACAAACTTTCTTCTGTTGGCGCTGTGGAGGAATTATTTGAGGAGGGGTCAGCTATGCTGGAAGAAAGGTAATATTTGTCTAGTGCTACTAACTATGGTCCTCCATTATTCTTCTTGTTCAATTAGTTATGATTTTTTCCATTAAGGCATAATTTGCTGCTTGTTAATGGAAAAGAAAGATGGGTCAGATTTAGAAAACCAATTTGATAATAACTTTTTAGGCAAACTGGAAAAATGTGTTCATTCAAATAGGTCCATGTGACTAAATATCTTTTTTGATCTACATCATGAACTTTATGGTAAATGAATAATGTGTTCTATTGCTAAATTGCTTCATGTCAAATATTATTACCATCATTAGATTATTTGCTAAAACTTTATCACTTTTATTCATAACTTATTGCTTAAACTTATAGATTGTTTCTTTAATTTGTAGACGTCTTGATTTTTATCAATTTGAAGGCAAATTTACCTTTAAACTTAGGTTCTTTGACTTTTCAATAAGCAATGTTTGAGGAATCAAGAACCAGATTGGCAGTGGATCAAATTGGGTCAGATGAAATTTGATCAAAACCAGGCCAGAATCAGTACTGAAAATGTGGTACAAAGGGTATACAAGGGTTTGAGGTTCAGGTGATGAATGGGCAACTCCTTGAGGGCTCTGCTTGTGGCTCAAGATAAATTCTTGAACATGTATTATGATATATCTATGGTCCACTCTTTTGGGTTGAAAAGAGTTACGCAGTCAAGGTGAATCAAGCTCAAAAAGCTTAATTGGACTCAATTAAGCTGGCTCGGTTGAGGCCCGATGGCCAGATGGTTTAGCCCTGACTCGGCTTGATACTGGTCCAGTTCAATGGACTCAAGCCAGCTTGGGTATTACAAGCCCTATATGAATTAGTCAAAGTTGACCTAGAATTATTCAGTTGGCTGAAAGCAGTGAACACTAGTTGGTTCTGGATGGTTCCCTGTTTCTTGAGTCATGGATCTAGCCTCTACATTGGCTGATACTTTTGCCAACTCCTGATGATTATTGATTTCTCGAGAATTTTGGGTTCTAACCAATCAGATCTTGGTTGAGTTAACCAGACATTAGTACCTATAGTTAGCATAGTTGTCTATTCATACAACACCCTTGATTGAATTTATGCTCGATTTATTAAACTTGTCACCTACCCTTGTTTTACTTGGAAAGGTTTCTAAGATAAATGCATTAGTGTGTTTAATCAATTATGCATTAAGGATGAGAACACCCATTTTTTCAGTTTTTCACATTTACCAGCACTTGTAAAAAGAAGAGGCTTTTGTCTATGTAATGTTGCAAATTCAAATTTAGATTCAAGGTTTATAATTCGTTCAATCTCTATTTCTCATGGAACAAGGATGGTGATTGTGCCTATTAAAATAAAACATACTAAACTATTTTACCTCAAGTCATGCTTAGTTGCTTTCAGGATGGAACTATGGAAGTCTTCCCATTTTATGTGTATTTTCACATTGCTTCTGCTAAGTCAATTCAAAATATGTACCTTAACTATGCCACTGAGTCAAATTAAATTAGGTACGTTATGCAGCTACGTCAATTTAGTATGTACCTTAATTGCTAAGTCAATTCAAAGTGTGTAATTCTGATATTGAAATATTTGATGCTAATAGATAGGGCTCAATACAAATTATTGAAAAATAAAAAATTTCATTGTTGGAAGTTAGATCAGTTGCGTCTAAGGTCAACTAGAAAAAGGTAAAATTGTAAATTTTGTGTTCTCCACCCACCATAGGAGTTATTGCTGTCTTTCAATGCTTGAGGTGTAGATGCTGTCTCTTAACCAGAGGTTATTCTATTATGCTTTTATGAAATGCTAGTAGATTGAGGGACCAATTTATATCCAGTAGACAGGAAAAGTTTTGACAGTATTAAAAAACAAGAATAACTCAGAAATCATATCAATTAGAAAAAAATTCCAGTTATGTAATTGGCAAATTCCATTGTAGTGTAGATTATTGTCTTGAAATATCCGAGATATAGGACTATTGTCTTAACCTCGATAACTCATTGGTGATAGATCTTCAATTGTTAATTAATTTAACCTGATCCCTGCAAAAGAATATGATTTCAAGTTATCCATAACAAGATGAAAGATGAATATGTGAAAGTAATATATTCCCTAACCGTAGAATTTTGAGGACAGTAATTCCCCTCCAACATGAATTGTTAAATGGCATGTTTTTGCCTTCAGGATTTTGCAAGTTGGTTCATAGGTTCACACAGAGGTCAATCATATGAACCATTGCTGGAATGTCATGAAACCCTTAAGGTCTCAGACACTTTGTTGTCCATGAGTAACACTTTTTGTACTAATATAATTGGATATATATTTGGGTTAAGTCAAGTGGTATTTCTGTCAATAGCTAACACGCTACATCTCAAATTTGCATATAGTATATTCTCATCCAACAATCCTAAGACAGCTATATGCACACACCTCAAAAATGTCAAAAGGCTTTTCTGAGATGTCTCGGACCAAGAAATGCTGTGATCTTTGTCATTTAGACTAAACACCTATAATTTGATTGTACAAACTCAAGTGAGAGACTTAAATTGATGATATTGTTGATGTAAAAGGGGTGCATTCACCTAGCGCAAGTTACAGTAAGAAGACTCCTAAGTGTCGCATGTTACCATGTTGCAATTTGGTTAGCTTGGCACTTTGTCACATGTTGCATCAACACACCTCACTCCATGGTGTGCTATTTATTTACCCGAAGCAGGTAATGGGGGGTGCACAGGTGTATGCTGAGCATCCAATGGTAGTGACGCTTGAGAACCTTGAACTTGAGGCGGCAATTGATGCATCGCCTGGTGGAGATGGTGTTCTTGCATGCCAATGCAATGTGATTGCCACTCAATCTGTTGGATTGTATGTTTGGCTGCTGGAGGCGGAAAGTGAGTTACTAGAAAGGATGTCACTGATCCTTAAACCTAGTGCTAGCCAGCTTGCGTTCGCATGGTTCACAAGGTTAACCTTGAGCATGCTTTGCCATTCTAAGGTGTTGGCTGGTATAGGTTTGATGTTTTATTCATTATATTTTAATGATTAACCTTGAGTCTGACTGCATACCAACTTGTACCGAGTGTCATATGCTAACTGGTAACAGTACCACACCAGTCTGATCATTGACCAATATCAATACTACACTGATATTTTAATCCTTTGAGTGCCCATTTTGTATAACTTATTTGGTAAATATGAGAAATGAGTGTTTAATTTTGGCTAACCCTTTTATTATCTCAATATCCCAAACCAAGGTCTTTGTGGAGAACTTGGTTATATTAGAGGCTAGGGTGGAGAATAAATCTGAAGATTCATGTAAAGACCTCTCGAACACCATCAGATGGAACAAGTAGGATAGATTTACAATGGATACAAGGATAGTTCTATTACAGTCTAGAAATGATAGTATGATCCATTATGTCCCTTGGAGTATTGTGAAACAACACAGCATCTCTAATGATGTGTAACCATCTATCAACTATGATCAATTGGTAAATATTTATCTGGTCTTTTACAGGCACCATAGATGGTGCCTTAATGTCATAGGAATATTTGGCAAATGATTCTTGAAGTGGGCATTATAAATCCTAGTTATGGCTTAAGGTTTTAGTTAATGACAACCTTCAGGTTTTGAGGATGTAAAGACACAATGCTCATCTCGAATGCAGTTTCACTTTGCTGCAAATTTTCTGTAGAATGCCTTGATCACCTCAATGATTGTTAGTGATAAAAAAGATAGGTTTCAGTCTTTTCTCTGTAGAAACTGGCCAAGAAACAATTAGAATAGAAGTACAAAGTGAATACTGAAATTGTAATCTGTAAACAATATAGTATCTGTGAAAAGGTGAAGCATAGAATATGTGTGTGTATATATATATATATATATATATATATATATATATATATATATATATATATATATATATATATATATATATATATATAT